CGCGCCCCGCCGCCGCCCGGACAGACCCCCGGCGTCACCTGGGTGCCCTCCTTCGGAATCGTACGTAGGGTGGACGTGACAGGGCCGCGGAGCAGGCGGATTTCTACAGGTCGGGGCGCCACCGGCGTACTCCGAACTCGCTTCGGTTTAAGCTCAGCGCCTTCCTGGTTCCAGCGCCAGGCAGCGTCAGCCGAGCTTCCGAGTGCATCGATGCAGGCAACCAGGGCGACCGGAATGCCGAGGGAGTAGATCGGTCTCGCCGCCAATTTTTTGTTTGGTGTTTGTTTTGCATGCTTGTGTAATTGGATTTGCCTGTTCCCAAAAGCAATAAAGGTGCGATTGGAGGACTGAACTACCTGGCTGATCGCCCTTATCGTCACAGATAATCAGTAAATCTGCATCTGGGAAGTTATGTTTAAGACAACCATCTCCTTGCAAAATTGGTTAGCCTGTGCTGGGAGGAGGGGAAGTTCGCCCAACAATAATAAATCCTGGGTGTGTGTCTGTATAGAGTCCTGTGTGATTAAATTCTAATGATTTATTTGCAAAAATGCATTAAAAGTCTGCCCTGGAGGTGAAGGCACTCGCAGGTTAGGTGTAAATTAGTTTCTCAGATTAAAGGAACCAGTTGGAAGAGGAATAATAATAATAATAATAAAAATCTACCGGATGGAAGAACAGGAAGTTTCTTCTAGAAGTCAAATGTGTACATTAAAAAAAAATTAAGCCAACAAACTAAAACATGTCAACATTTTCCGTAACTCTCAATGCATTACTTTCCCTTACATAAAAAAAAATCTCTATTTTGGATTATTTATCATAAGAAAGCAAAGGTAAAAAGATACAAAAAACTGTTAGGCTCAGTTTGGGTGTACTGTGAGAACCAATTCGTGTGCAGCTGCTAGGTAAACCGAAGTGCAGCTTTCCACAGATAATGCCCATGGTGAAATCATCTCCTCCATGGTATATCCGTAATAAATAACTGCACTTTAGCCATTTTTAATATTGTTAATACATATATTTTAAGAACATTTTTAATACAAAATGCTACGTTTCTTTTCAATAATTCAAGAATTGAGGTACCCCCTCTGGGTCCTGAATTTTATTGAAACTTGTATATCTGTCCACAGGCTATCAGTTGAGTTTTCACTTCAGTGATTCTCTTTGCAAAACTGCTCTTTGAAATGTTTTATCTGTGGAAAACATTTGCCATTTAGTAAAGAAACAACACTAGAAGTTCATAGCATTTATTAAAAACGTTGGATTAAAAAAAAAGCGTCCCCCAAAGAGGACATATCAGGGATATGGAAAGGGAGAGAGGAAGGAGAAAAAAAAAGAGAGTGAGTGGATATAGCCAAAATACATTATGTGCGTGTATGGAAATTTCATCGTGAAAACCATTACACTGTACACTTACTATATGCCAATAGATTTCGTAATTAAACTTCCTTTAGTGAGTAGGAATCTGTGTCCAGACACTGCAGTCTTCTCATTGCTCTTTCTAATATCAATACTAGCATCCTCATATTTAAAATATGCCAGTGAGCTGAGATCATGGGGAAATCTTTTGGTTCACATTACCAAACAACAGATCTGAGGTGATCTTTAAAGTGGCTGTCTTGCCCTCAAGTTCAGTAGATGAGATTTAACTTTATACTTAAAAGTCATGCGCATAAAAGGAGAAAGAAGTGACTGGAGTGTCCTCTTAGACTTCCAATAGTGCTTACCGAGTTGCTGTTTGTGAATATGCATTTTTACACCGCCCTTTGAGAGCTCTTGCATTACCTGGTCCATTTAGCTGACCCCATTATTGGCCATTCTGTTACTTAAAAAAAAATCTTTAAGACAGAGTCTCATGCAGGACTAAGTTTTATGACTGTTCCCCTATGATAATACCGGAGTTAAAATGGCTATAGGTTGTATACCAAGACTCGATGTGAAGTTACATTCCTAAATTCATTCTAACTGTCAAAAGTCTGGGTTTTTGCATTTCTTATGGAATAAAAGCAAATGTTCCTATACTTCATTAATACCTAAAACACCTACAAGGTATTGCTACGAATATTTTAATGGTATTTGCCCTAAAAGTAGCAAGCAAAAAGGACGTTTTCAGAAGACAGCTTCAGAGGAAAGGCAAAGCAGCATGATTTTCACCTTTCTTAAATTCGCCAAACATGAACATTTCCTCTGTAATACAAACTGATGATACAGTCTCTACTTACTTACATTTGACTCTGTACTACATACAAACTGATGTTATATACAGTCTCTCTACTTACCTACACTTGACTCTGTAGTAAAAACTGATGTTACTACAGACTCTACTTACATTTGAGAGACTTTATATACTGAAGTTTAACCGCGTTCTCTTCCCACACACGTTTCAGATTGTTTTGATAGAACTTGTCCAATCATTTGCTTACTTGAACACTTTAACCAAGGAGTAGAAGATATGGGTATTCGTGTTCTGCAATTGCTTTTTATTTTTACCAACAGTTTTAGATCTATGATAATGAATACAACCTTAACATCAGAAAGACTGCATTAATATTCCACGTACTTGAAAATGCTCCCAAAGCTACACTTCAAGAAGCATATTTGTTTACAGGATTGAGTAACTGTAACTCTCCCGTGTAAATTATTCGGTTGTGAGTGTATGTCTGACAGGTATTTGAATCTTTTCAGCAAGAAAATACAGACAGGGGCTCAGGAATATTCACGTTTCCATAAAAAAGAGCCAAAATATAATTTTTATATGCTGAATCCTATCACCGAGAGCGAGCGAGTGAGTGAGTGAGCGAGCGAGAACGCGCCTTCTCCAAGTGTGTCTGTTTTCCTCGGCCCACCGTAGGTAAACGTACACGGGGCACAAACTCCGCATTGTTTCTGCCACGCTTGCAGAGGGGCCACCACAGGTTTTCAGAATTAGGAGGCCAGCCCAGATGTGCGTGGTGGGTGTCAAGGAGGAGGCGGGGGCTCGCGGGGGTCCGACGGTGAGGGTCCCGGGACCTGAGCGTGGAGCGCGGCACAGCCGGCCGGGCTGGGCAGCGCTGGGGCCC